GTGAAACTCCGTCTCAAAAAAAAAAAAAAAAAAAGATAAGAGTATGTAAAATTTTCTACTTGTAGCAGTAGTAGTTCAAGCATATGATTTTATTTTACTTAATGAGAGTTATAATTATTAGACGAAATAAAATGAAAATTTTTTCTGGCATTTTGATTGAGAATTTATCAAATTTATAAATTGTGGAAAATTAATATCTTCACCATATAATTCTATTCATCATAAACATGGTATATTGCTTCAGTCTCTTCTGTACTTATATATTTTATCATGTATATTTTTGTTAGGTTTTTCTGCATTTTAAAGCTTTTTATTCCTAAGTACTTTCTAGATTTGTTATTATGATCATACAGGCATTTTCTTATTATATTTTCTAGTTGGTTATTGCTAATGTAACAAAATGCTATTCCTCATTGATTTGTTTAAAACTGCTACCCTGTTGATTTTTCATACTGATTCTCATGGTTTCTTGTTTTGTTTTGTTTTGTTTTTTTCCTTAGAAAGAAACATTTAATAGGGACTTACCAACAGAAGCCATGTCTGTGTCTTGGGCTGCGGCAAGACAAGATGGTGGATCCCTGCACCATTCCCCCCAGGCCCAGGGCTTATATACCATAGGGGGGGTGGTTCAGAAGGGATGTGTAGGACAATTGAAGTACTGTAACATCAAGGTCGTTTGACCTGACGTTGTGGTAAGTACCTGCTCTTACACAAGGAACAACAGATAAACTGGAAATCTTAGAGGCCCTCCCAGACGGATTAATCAGAAGCCCACATGGTAGATTAGCTTCTAAGGTGACCTTGCTTTGGCCTTCACACTTCACCTCCCAGTCCAGCTTTTATATCTATGCGCCCTCCTCTGAAACTTTAGGGAGGATGCTTGACATTGCGTAGCTTTAGCAGCAGTGCATTGGCAATGGGAGACAGATCAGGCTCAGGAGGATTCCAAATTAAGGAGATTCACAGGCTGTTGAGTCATGTCTAGTCTTCCGAGTACTATGACTTTGGTTTTCTCAGAAGTAAAACAATGACAGGTACATAATATTAATTATTTGAATAGTAAAAATATAATACACTCAAGGATTACAATCGAGAGAACGTTTGATTGTGCCTGAACAACAACAAAGAATCCATTTCGTTAAGGGGCCGACTAAAAGTACCCTGAAGCAAATGAAAACCTGGTTCCTCTTTAGGGACTTCTTGTAGCCAGGAAATAATTCAGAATTAGCCCAAATTGTAGGCAGATAATAAAAACTCAGAACAGTGGTCAGGGTTAGAATCTAAGTTTTTCTCTCTCCAGTTTCCCTACTTCTACCAAGAATAAATCATAGTAGGACCAATTGAATGGCAAAATTTTGGTCTCATTATACTTGGGCTGGTTATTTGCATAAAGTATAGCAAGTATAGTGACCAGCCATGTAAGCTCCTTTTAAGTTGACTTTGCTGAACCTTTTTTTTTTTTTCTTTTTTGAGATGTACTCTCGCTCTGTTGCCCAGGCTGGAGTGCAGTGGCCTGATCTCAGCTCACTGTGACCTCTACCTCCCAGGTTCAAGACATTCACTTGCTTAGCCTCTCGAGTAGCTGGGATTACAGGTGTGCACCACAACACCTGGCTAATTTTTTTATTTTAAGTAGAGATGGGGTTTCACCATGTTGGTCAGGCTGGTCTGGAATTCCTGACCTCGTGATCTGGCTGCCTTGGCCTCTCAAAGTGTTGGGATTATAGGCGTGAGCCACCATGCGCAGCCTTGCTGGAACTTTTTAAAGGAATTTTGGATTTGACTTTTTATTGTATTTATTTATTTATTTAGAGACCGAGTCTCACTCTGTCGTCCAGGCTGGAGTGCAATGGTGTGATCTTGGCTCACTACAACCTCTACCTCATGGGTTCAAGCAATTCTCCTGCCTCAGCCTCCTGAGTAGCTGGGATTACAAGCGTGTGTTACCCGGCTAATTTTTTGTATTTTTAATAGAGATGGGGTTTGACCATGTTGACCAGGCTGGTCTCAAACTCCAGACCTCAGGTGGTCTTCCTGCCTCGGCCTCCCAAAGTGCTGGGATTACAGGCATGAGCCAGCACGCCAGGCCTGGATTTGACATTTTAAAAGCTTAGAAGGCCAAAAGCTAAGCCGAGGATTTGCCACTTGACTGTACTTGTAACGCTTGTATGAATTCCTATCTTATTTGATATCCAAAAATACTTAAAAGTTCATGAGCCTTCTAGAAAGTGACATTCTTTACTTACCACAGGTCTGGAGCATGTAAGGTGGACATGGTACCAGGTCAGTCTTTTCAAGGGGCTTTTTATCAGTTCTATAAAGCCAACCGAAATTTCTCAGAACAGTCTGGTTATATCTGAAAATATGCCATTCCATTTGAAGCCTTGATAAGATAACCAGTCTCTCCAGTTGTATCCTTTTACAAAAGAAAACAGATTTTTACTGAACTTATGCAAATAACTGTTGCCATAAAATCAGAATACTCACAAATAGTTTCCAAATTTTGGAAAAATCAGGTAGAGAGAAAGGTAAATTTCGCTCACAAAAACATACTTTACCCAGTTGCTCTAAGCTATAAATAACTCAGAAAGATTTTCTTGACTCTTCTTTAATCAGAGCAGCAGGCTTCCAAACAAGATATCATTTGTTCACCTTGGAACTGCCGCAGTTCACAAATCAAGCAGCTCTTTGTCAGTCAGGTGAGAGCTGTTTACTGGGAACTGTAGAATCCAACAGCTGTTTACACAGTTCCAGAGTCAGTGGAACGGAAGCCGTGTCTGTGTCTCAGGCAGCTGCAAGACAAGATGGTGGATCTCCACCAGTTCTCATTTTATCTCTGCTGGTTGTCTTAGTTTTATAATTAGACAACCAGATATTTACAAATAATGACAATAGTTTTTCTTCCTTGTTGAGTGCCTATTACTGGCACTTTGCTCCTAGTTTGGCAGGTCCTCTAGGACAGGGCTGGCTAGTGGCATTGATTTCAGCATCCTTGTCTTCTGTTTTTAAAGGGAATGGTTTTAATGGTTCACACAAAATATGATATTTTCTATAGGTATAGGGAAGAAACACTTTATAGTGTAAAGGAAATTCCTTTTACTTTTAGTTTGCTTTAAATTCTGATTTTTGAAAGTGTTGAATTTTTTTTTTTTTTTTTTTTTTGAAGGGGAGCCTTGCTCTTGTTGCCCAGGCTGGAGTGCAGTGGTATGATCTCGGCTACTGCAGCCTCCACCTCCTGGGTTCAAGCGATTCTCCTGCCTTAGTCTCCTGCTACCATGCCCAGCTAATTTCTTTTTATTTAGTAGAGATGGGGTTTCACCATGTTGGTCAGACTGGTCTCGATCTCCTGGCCTCAAATGATCCGCCCGCCTTGGTCTCCCAAAGTGCTGGGATTACAGGCATAAGCGACTGCACCCAGCCAAAAGTGTTGAGTTTTATCATGTTCCTTTTGTCATGTTTATTGAGATCATTGGGTATTCTCCACTAAGGTGCTAATGTGACTTATTTTATTACTTTTTGTTTTTGAAAAATGTGGACTATCCTTTAATTCATTGGATAAACTCTTGGTCTGGTTTGCTAGGTATGTATGCACATAGACACGCTCTGTATATATGTACAGAATTAGTTTTCCTTTACTAATATTTTTAAGTATTTTAATCAATGTTAATCATAAATGCGGTTAGACTACAGCTTGTGCTGTCCTTATTTTGTGTGTAGCGTTGTGCAACTTTCATGATGCATTGTACGGCTTTACATCAGACGATATATACTGGGAACTTTCCGTTCCTTGGGTGGTGTTAGAACTTTTAATAGTGTGGGACTGTTGCCTTTTTGGGAAGAGTGTGCCTTTTCAGTTTTTTAAATGATCATCGGCTAGTCTATTTTTCCCAATTTTTTTTTTTTTTTTTTTGAGATGGGGTCTCACTCTGTCATCCAGGCTGGAGTGCAGTGGCGTGATCTCTGCTCATTGCAACCTCCGCATCCCAGGCTCAAGCAGTCCTCCCACATCAGCCTCTCGATTAGCTGGGACTACAGGTGTGTGCCAGCATTCCCGGCTAACTTTTATATTTTTTTATAGAGATGGGTTTTCAGCATGTTGCCCAGGCTGGTCTTGAAGTCTTGGACTCAAGTGATCCACCCATTTCTGCTTCCCAGAGTACTGGGATTACAGGCATGAGCCACCATGTCGTGGCCTGGTTTTCCTAATTCTTGCTGGGCTAATTTTTGGTTACTTTTATTTTCATAGAAAAATTTCCATTTTGTCTAAGTTTTCCAATTGATTGAAGCAAAGTTGTAAATACAGTCAGTTCTACTATTTTGTTTGCTTTGACAACATGAATTTTTTTCCACACTATTGTTATTTTAAGGAACAATGTGAGCTTTCTGTCTGATTTCTTTCTGATTTCTGTCTCTTTCCACCACTACGTAATAACTTTGGTCATGTTTATATGTTTGTCAACCATTTAGCATGTATGAAACTGCTACTGTTTTTATCAGGTTCTAGGTTTTCTTTTTGTGTGTTGCTGGAATTTTGTATTTACCCCATTTTTCCCATAAGCCCGTGGTTCTTTATGCAACTTTGTATGGTGTGATTTTTTTTGCAGCATATATGTCCCATTACAGTAGAACTGTTTATCATAATCTCTTGTGAAATTTCAAATCTCTTAGAGTTTTGGACTGCTTCCTGGTCACAGAATTTTCTTTTGATCATGCCAAGTCAATTCAAAATTTTAACAGTTATTTTATATTTAATTTAATTTATTAATTTATTTATTTATTTTGAGATGGAGTCTTTCTTGCTCTGTCGCCCAGGCTGGAGTGCAGTGGCACGATCTCAGTTACTGCAACCTCCGCCTCCTGGGTCCAAGCGATTCTCCTGCCTCAGCCTCTCGAGTAGTAGGTTCTACAGGTGTGTGCTTCCATACCTGGCTGATTTTTGTGTTTTTAGTAGGACGGGGTTTTGCCATGTTGGCCAGGCTGGTCTTGAGCTCCGGACTGCAGGTGATCCACCCGCCTCGGCCTCTCAAAGTGCTGGGATTACAGGCATGAACCACCTCGCCCAGACTATTTGTATTCTTACCAAGCTTAAAGAAATAGTATAAGACTTTAAATAAAATAGGCAGGAAACCTCCTGCCCACCTGCTGTGTGCTCTGCACCTTTCCTTTTCCATCCTGTGTCCCCAGAAGCAGCCGCTTTGGGCTGCGTTTCCTTCTCTGGCGTCCATCCCAGCTTCTCATCTGGCCGCGTTGGCGTGACTTGTTTCATGTTTCTTCTCCCTCCATTTTGAAGTAACCAGCTTGATGAACGGCCTGAACTTGGTACAAGTTGTGGCTTCATTTTTCTCCACCACACCTCAGGCTTGCACCGTCAGCTCTTTCTTCCCTTGTGGTCATCGTAAGGAGAGCCCACGATGCTCTGGTCACGGCCTGTTTGTTGCTAACTCTCAGTTACTTTCGTATGGGAAAGTTCAGTCCACACTCCAGGCCTTTGTACCTCCCCCTCATTCTAGCCTGCGGAGGGGAGATGGAGGAGGCCTGTCTTTATTCCCACTTCATTTCCTTGTTGCCCTCTGGTGGGGGCTCCTTCTGGGTTGATAGGAAGATCAGTGATTAGAGGGAAGGACACAAAGGCTCCTGCGGTGTGATGGTCAGTACCCAGTGTTATGACAGGCATCTGTGGGGATCGTGGGACTTGGTTAGAGCCTCTGGCAGGATTTTGCTCGCAGTTCCATGATGTATGTGATTCTTTCTCTCACCGCTTGCAGACTTACCCAGAAGTCCACTCACCGCCTCTTCCCCTGGGATCTACCTCCTTGCAGGTAGTGCTGCTGAGGAGGAGCCTGCTAATGAGCTCAAGTCTCAAGTTCAGGAATCTTGGGGGTATTCCCTGGCCCCAGGGAAACAGTGCCCTGCCTGAGGTGAGCTGCTGAGCCCTCACTCCCCAGCTGCCTTTTAAAGTCCCCCTGTAGTCTCTGCCTTCGAATTTTTCAGAGGAAAGCAGTTATGGATCCTTGTTTACTTAAATTCTTAAGCACATGTCAGTTCCTTCTGAAAATTTCCCAGAATTAGCCTTGGCCGATGGGCTCTTGCAGACATCCACGTTGTGTATAGGGTGCTTATACAGTCCCCTTTTCCTGGAGCCCCTCCTGTTTGAGAGGATGGATACCCGCTTCCTTTTCTTACCACATGTTCTTAACAAGGTCACTTTGCTCCTTCAGTGACTCAGTTCTGTGGACTCTTTTCTAGCTGGGTCTCCGCCATCTTCAGTCATTCACTGAACAGTTATCCACTCTCGTTTCCTCCCCTTCTCATTCCCAGGCGTCTTCACCTCCATGATGGGGAAGTGCTTTAGCTTGCTTGGCCAGGTTGCTTGGTGTCCTCCTGGCCCCCTTCTCTCTCAGCATGCCATGCCATGTCTCCATCAGGTTGCGTTCTGGCTCTGTCCTCATGGATGCCCAGAATCTACCACTGCTTATCATCCCCATCGCTGTCACTTTGGCCCAAGCCACCTTCTTCCACCGGACTAACGCAGTTGTCCCTTACCTGGTCTCCCTGGTATCTCCTCTTCCACAGCCCCTCCCTCTTTCATGGCAGTCAGGATGATCTCGAAATGTGAGTCAGAGCCCTTTCAGTGGCTTCTCACAGCACTTTGGTTTCTGTCTAGATATCACCTCATCAGAGAGCTGCCCTGATCACCCTGTGTGTGTGAAACAGTACCTGCGCCTCCCTCTGTCCCATCACTCTGTCCCTTATCCCTTTTACCTGCTTGGATTTTTATTTTTTTTTAGATGGAGTCTTACTGTGTTGCCCAGGCTGGAGTGCAGTGGTGCGATCTCCGCTCACTGCAACCTCTGCCTCCTGGGTTCAAGCGATTCTCCGGCCTCAGCCTCCCAGGTAGCTGGGGTTACAGGCATGCACCAGCATGCCAGGCTAATTTTTGTATTTTTAGCAGAGACGGGGTTTCTCCATGTTGGCCAGGCTGGTCTCTAACTCCTGACCTCAGGTGATCTGCCACCTTGGCCTCCCAAAGTGCTGGGACTACAGGCTAAGCCACCACGCATAGCCTGGATTTTGTTAAGAGTACCTAGCACCACTGGCATGTTAAGTGCTGGTGTGTTGGCTGAGTATCACCCTCCCCGGAGGCGCTAAGTAGGTGGGACCTGGGAGCCTAATTCGTATACTGCTTTTAGCTGTTTTCAGTTCACACCTCATTCTTGTTTTGCAGGATGACTGCTCCCAAAGCTATTGAGGCTTCTGTGGGAGAGATGGTTTGCTGTGCGTCAGCTTACCTCTGGGAGAGTTTCGGCTCAGGGAAGTCAGTTACCAGATTTTTGGCTTCTGCTTGTTAAAAATTTATCAAAATATCATATTGGCTTCTATTTATGTGGTTCCCTTTTCTTTTAGAGGTCTGTTTGTGCATACTATATTTCTGTAATGTAGTTTAAATGGGTCTCAGAAGAGGATACTGATAATCATGTCTAAATCTCTCCATTCTCTCTGTTCCTACTTTCAAATCACCTTTAGTCTCCATCTCAACCTCCCTAATGGGCATAAATCTTACAGTGTTGTAGGTGTTTTGATTTTTTTTTTTTTTCCAGAAGTCATTAACAGTTGTAGGTGTTTTGATTTGTGAAATTAGATATTGTAGAAAAACCATCTAGCATAGAGGAATAGTGGCTGTTACTCTGCATAGCAGCTGAGTACTACTGAGCCTGGAGGAGCAGCAGGCTGCATGGAGGGGCCTGGGCATGAGGAGTCTTTGGCTGTAGTGAGACCCTCATGCTACTTGGGATACATAAGAAATGCCCTTAGTTTCAGTCCCTTGAGCTAAACTGTTATAAAAATGCAATGATTTTGTGCTAATTCTGTGAGTATCAGCTTTCATTTATTTAGCATTTACCTGATATGTTTTTTCATTTCTTTATTTTCTAATTTGTATTTTTTCTTTGGTGTATCTCATGAGTTTCACACTGTCTTAGTTATGTTTTCAGTATGTTTCTTCTAACAACATAGTGCTGTGTTTATCTAATGTATATATCTCGCGTGTTTTTCTTGCTTATGAGCTGTAATGAGTGATCACAGCATTTTGAATTATTGCTGCTATCATGTTGTGTGTTGTGCATTTTCCATGCCATCTTGTGCTTTCTAATTGACTTGGATTTGTTGAACTGAATATGTTCTTTCTCAGTGTGTTTTTCTTCTACTGTTTTGGAAGTCATTCTTACCTTCTTCCTTACTCCCTCCCTACATTTTTAGTGCTTGACTGCTTTTAGGTTGTTCACAGGCACACTGAGCTTTCCCCTTTAAACCAAAGTCTAAACAGTTGTATTTTCTCTTTTCCCAAATGAAAGATGTTTCTTTATACCTTCATTTTCTATGATTCTCATCTGTTTGCATCACATACATGCTTAAATCATAGCTGATTACAATTTTAGTTCTGATATGTTTGAAGCAGTATTTAGGTTTTTGTTCTGCTGATTTCAGTGCTCAGCATTGTATCCAGCTTCCCACTAAATCTGTGTCTTAATGTAGTTCCTATAGGATGTAATTTTTTTTTTTTTTTTTTTCTTGAGACGGAGTTTCGCTCTTGTTACCCAGGCTGGAGTGCAATGGCGCGATCTCGGCTCACCGCAACCTCCGCCTCCTGGGTTCAGGCAATTCTCCTGCCTCAGCCTCCTGAGTAGCTGGGATTACAGGCACGCGCCACCATGCCCAGCTAATTTTTTGTATTTTTAGTAGAGACGGGGTTTCACCATGTTGACCAGGATGGTCTCGATCTCTTAACCTCGTGATCCACCCGCCTCGGCCTCCCAAAGTGCTGGGATTACAGGCTTGAGCCACCGCGCCCGGCCAGGATGTAATTTTTTTTAATTTAAAACAATTGTTTAATTTTTTTTAGAGACAGAGTCCGGTTCTGTTGCCGAGTGTAAAGTGCAGTGGCACAATCATGGCTAACTACAGCCTCACACTTCTGTGCTCAAACAACCCTTCCACCTCAGCCTCCTGAGTAGCTGGGACTACAGGCATGCACCGCCATGCCCACAAATTTTTTGTTATTTGTAGAGATGTGGTCTAACTATGTAACCCAGGCTGGTCTCAAACTCCTGGCCTCAAGTGATCCTCCCACCGCAGCTTCCCAGAGTGCTGGGATTACAGGCGTAAGCTATCACACTCGATGAATATAAATTCTCCAGGTGCTTGTATATTTGAAAATGTCTCTTACTGTCCCTATTCTTGCCTTTTAGTTTGGCTGGTATAAGATTTCAGAATCGGCCGGGCGCGGTGGCTCACGCCTGTAATCCCAGCACTTTGGGAGGCCGAGGCGGGTGGATCATGAGGTCAATAGATCGAGACCATCCTGGTCAACATGGTGAAACCCCGTCTCTACTAAAACTACAAAAAATCAGCTGGGCATGGTGGCACATGCCTGTAATCCCAGCTACTCAGGAGGCTGAGGCAGGAGAATTGCCTGAACCCAGGAGGCGGAGGTTGCGGTGAGCCGAGATCTCGCCATTGCACTCCAGCCGGGTAACAAGAGTGAAACTCTGTCTCAAAAAAAAAAAAAAAAAGATTTCAGAATCAGCATTATTTTTTCTCAGTACTTTATTTCTCTCCCACTTCCAGGAAGCATTGCTTTTCCTTTCAGTTAGTGATCTGGTGTTCTCTTTATTCTTTATTTTCAGAAGTTTCATTACTATCTGCTTAAATTTGGACCTTTTATTTTTTGTTAACTTATCTTGCATTTCAATTGGTAGGTTTTTCTCATGTGAAATCTCATATTTGTCTTCACTCTACGAAAATTTTCAGGCCATATTTCTTCGAACATTGCCCTATTATTCCTCTTATTTATGTGAACCTACATTGGCAATTCTTCTATAAACCAGGAAAATCATTCCAGGTTTATTTTGTAGTCTAGCTCTTACTCGTTCACCCAGTATAGCCATCGCTATGGTTTGAATGTATCTTCCAAATTTCCTGTGTTGGAAATGTAATCCCTAAATTTATTTGTTGGTGGTATTTGGAGGCGGGACCTCTGGGAGGTATTTCGGATTAGATCAAGTCATCAGGGCAGGGCCCAGATGATGGGATTAGTGGTTTTATAAGGGTAGGAAGACCTGAGCTGGCATGCTCCCTGCCTCTCATCATGTCAGGCCCTCCACCAAGTTACGACACAGCAGGAAGGCCCTCAGCCAATGCCAGCACCATGCCCTTGGATTTCCTGGCCTCCAGAACCTTGACCTAAATGAACATTTTTCTTTATAAATTACCCAATTTTTGGTATTCTGTTTTAAAAATAGAAGACAAAGACAGCAATCTTTTCTGCTTCTGAAATCTTTGCAGTTACTTGAATTGACCAGGTTCTACCATGTGTTCTGTGTGATGCTTCCTCTTGGTACAGGGACTGCAAATTATGTCCCAATCTATTTTTTTTTTCTTTCTTTCATAATAAATTTGCCAGTTTTTCAGTTGGGCATATACAGAACAGACTATATTTCTGAATTTCCCTGCTGTTCCCTCCCAGCCCCCACTCTTTGCTGTTCCTTAGAATGCTGATGTGATGACTAGAGCCATCTCAGACTGGATTACCCTGGAAGTGGAAGCCATGTCAGGTGGAGCAGGAGATGGGAGCCCCCGACCAATTGCCTTCAGACTCCTACAAGTAGAAGGAGAAACTCTCTTGTTTGTCCCCCTGTTGTTCTCAGTTGAACCCTGTTCCAAATACCTCCTGAATTGCCCTTTCCACCCCAACTTCTTGAACACATCATGAATCTTCTAAGACTACTTGAGTGTCTGTCTTCATTTCTGTGCACGATGTACCCTGGATATGCTTTTACGAAGGACTCAGAACACCTTATTTTCTTTGCATGTATAAATGTTCATTTCCATCCACATGATAGAAAGCTTCTCGAAGACAGAACTGGATTTTATTCATCCTGAAATCTTCAGGACCCAAAAGAGAACTGGCAGATAGAAGCGCCTTGATTGACTTTTAATTCTCTCACAAGGTAAATGCTGGACCAGGCACAGGAGATAGTCTGTAGAGGAACATTGATCCTTTCCCAGTTCCTCTGCATCTTTTCCATGTCACCTGATGTAATTGCGTCTAATTGAATGGGATGTGTATTATTTCAGGGATTGTTGTCGTTCAAGGATATATCTGTGGAGTTCACCTGGGATGAGTGGCAGCTACTGGATTCCACACAGAAGTACCTGTACAGAGAGGTGGTACTGGAAAACTACCATAACCTGATCTCGGTGGGTGAGTACTGCTGCTCTGCTCAACTTAGATAGTGAGTCATAAACTGCCATCCTTTTTCGTTGTTGTTGACCTACTCTGGGGCCTCTGAAGTGCTTGATGATTATGAACTTGAACTTCAGAGGTGAAATGTCCTTAGTCCCTGTTTGGCCCTCACTTTCTAGCCGTAGTCTTTCCCCAAGTGAGACGAGCAGTTTGGCTCTGTAGCTCCTGCTTCCTCGGTCCTGTCCCTGACCCTGGTCCACAACCTTTGTGATTTCCCATCAACAGGGTATCATGGTGCCAAGCCTGACTTAATCTTCAAGTTGGAACAAGGAGAAGATCCGTGGATAGTAAATGCCAAAATTTCCAGGGAGAGCTGTCCAGGTGGGTGAGTGAGAACGAGGAAGGTGGGAGGTGTGGGAGTGAACTGATGCGTCCCTGAGGAGTGGGCATTTGCAGGGTTGTCTACAAAAATGCTTCTGGAAGTCCTTGAACTAATGGGGCTGACTCAGGATGAAGCCATGAGCTCCTCAGATAAGGAAATCACCATCACTCTTCATATATTTTGGTTTTTCTTCCCCTTCATTGTTGAGAGGGAGGCGTATCCCCTCCTTCCCATGGTCATGGGTGTCATTGGGGAATCAAGACCTTCAGGGGATTTCTTTTTCCTCTTACTTGGTGTGGCTCATGGCCCTCTATTTCTTTTCTTTTATTTCATCTTTAGTCTTCCGCAGTTGGATCCCCTAGAGTTTACTCACAGTCTTAAGAAACCCTGGTGTCTCCTGTGTCTTTGAGTGATTTTGCATACCTTATGCTTCCCTTTTGTGTTGTCCAAAGGCGCATTTTTTCCAAGTTTGGCTATCGTCTCCTATGCTGTAGCTGTCGACAGGCTCTTCCATTCTGAAGCATTTTTTCCAAGTTTGGCTATCCTCTCCTATGCTGTAGCTGTCGACAGACTCTTCCATTCTGAAGCATTTTTTCCAAGTTTGGCTGTCCTCTCCTATGCTGTAGCTGTCGACAGACTCTTCCATTCTGAAGCATTTTTTCCAAGTTTGGCTGTCGTCTCCTATGCTGTAGCTGTCGACAGGCTCTTCCATTCTGAAGCATTTTTTCCAAGTTTGGCTATCGTCTCCTATGCTGTAGCTGTCGACAGGCTCTTCCATTCTGAAGCATTTTTTCCAAGTTTGGCTGTCCTCTCCTATGCTGTAGCTGTCGACAGGCTCTTCCATTCTGAAGCATTTTTTCCAAGTTTGGCTGTCCTCTCCTATGCTGTAGCTGTCGACAGACTCTTCCATTCTGAAGGTTTAAGCTTTGCCCCCAGAGTCCGTCTTTCTTTTTGGCACTTGAGTCCTGGGTTTTACATGCTGAGGGGAGAGCTCCCCCACGCTTTCCCAGGCTTTACTTCCAGTATCGGAAGTGGGGATTTCCTTCTAAAATTACCATTCTTCCTCAGAAGAAATGGCCAGAGTCCTTCGTTTTCTTCTACAAGTTTCTTTCTTAGTGTTTCCATCTCTGAGGAGCAGGGCCACCTTTCTGGTCAAGCTCTTGGTTCCTCCCCTTCTCTGCGCCACATCCAGTCCCTCAGCAGATCCTCTTAGTTCTCTCTCCCATGTTCTCCCAATTTCCTCAGCTCCAGACACTTGTTAGGCCATTCTTGCATTGCTATAAAGAAATACCTGTGACTAAGTAATGTATAAGAAAAGAGGTTTAATTGCCTCACAGTTCTGTGTGGTGCAAGGAAGTACAGCAGCATTTGCTTCTGGGGAGGCCTCAGGTAGCTTCCAGTCATAGTGGAAGGCAAAGGGGGAGCAGTCACGTCACACGTGAAAGCAGGAGCGAGAGGGAGGCGGTGGGGGGGG